GGAAACCTCTCAACAACTACAGGATGGATTGCCATGAAATGTTGGTAGAACTTTCTATAATTCCCATGTCTATAATGTATTTTATGCTTATAATGTGAGAATCTGCTTTTGGGTTTATCCTTTAACAATAATCACTCATAAATATTCATAAATGTTCTATATTCTTTTTTTCAATATAATTTCTCATGAAGTCAAATACTTAATATTCAAATCAAATATCACAGAGTTTATGATTTTTGGAGAGGGTCACAGTGCATTTGCATTTCTTGTCTGTTAAAAAAATGCACTTCATTTAGGTTTTTTCTTTAAAATATGTAATCTTTTATTTGTTATACTTTACTTATAGCAAGTAGCCTTTGCTTAAGACATTTACGTTTTTAGAAAGTAATAGCAACGTTTTCTGCAGATATTTAAAGTCCAGAAGATGTTTCTTAATGCATTTAGTGACTTTGTGCCACCATGAGTTTGATTTGTGTTTCTGAAACTCTCCAAACAGCCTCAGACTTTGTGTTTAGTGCTAAATAGCAACTGTTGCATGCAAACAAACAAAACTAACTCAGCATGTGACTTAGCACATACTTTTATTATGTGTTTTATTATTAGTTGTGAGTGTGGTTCACCCTATTCTTGTTAAACACGAGCGTCATCATTGTCCTCATGGGCCGCTACGGAAGTGGGCCGGTCGGACGATGTGGGCCGGTCAGATAAACTTGCGGTACCGAGGTGGGCCGGTCGAGAGTCCCGGGCTGATTTTTAGTCCCAGTCCGCCCCTGATGCTGAGGTTAGCATTTAGCTCAAAGTTTAATAGCAAACTTTATCTGACGTCATGCACCTCTATCTATTCACATATTTACTTTTAGACTGTGAGTCAGCTTCTGCCATTGCAGCATCAACTTTGGATGACTCACATAGTCCTTATTTGTTTTGGTACTAAATGGAATTTCTAAACCGTAATCTAAATCTGCTTCTTCTTATTTTCTCTCCGATGGTCTTTTGCCTTCACAATCTCCATCACACCAAGGTCATTTTTCCCTTTAACAAACAAACCGTCCCCACCTCCACAACAGTGTCATTATCCGTGCTAAATCAAACGTGAGAAGTGTAGTTTCTCCTACGTGTTTTCTCTATGGGTCTGGCTGAGAGTCAGCTGCCATCTGGATGTTTCAGCACCATGGACAGCAGACCGAGCAGATCCATTATTAATGCCTCTGGTGAGGATTTCCAGAAAGATCCACCTGAAAAACAGCAACCTTAAGAGAACACTATGCAAGGATAACGTAAAGACATGTATAGCTTTTTTATCACCGAGTTGAGTAGAGTTATATCATCGTAGAAATTAACAAAAACTCATCTCCCAGCTTTTTATTTTCAGGAATACAGTTAAGCACTAATACAATTCATTGAGTTGCTGCTCCCAAACTGGTTTTATGACAAGGCTTGGTGCTGTAAAGGGGGTGTGGAGAGACTGTGCTCCTGAAAGCCAATGATTTCTGCTCCTGCTCGTGTTTGTTTTCCCAGGCACCAACCAAAAGTAGTTAACCCACCTTTTCCTTTACCACAACGTCGCTACAAAGTCACCACGGGGCACCTGAGACACATGTAAAGTCCCTGAAGGAGTGTTGCAGGGATTTAAAAGGCCAGTGGGTCATCGGTCATTGGTCCACAGGACCCTTGAGCATCTCCAAACCGAGCAGCCGCCTCCTCCTCCTCCGCCACTAAAACACCACCCAGCAGCATTCAACCCGACGACTTTGCGGACTGCAGACTAGCTCCTCAAGAGGAGGGGGAAAAAGGGAAAACTTTTCCTCAACTGGAGTCTGATAGGCGGTGAGGGGTAAAGTGATCATTGCGTTTGCATGGATTATCGATAAGTGCAAAAAAGAGGCATTAGTTATTAATATATTCCTTTAAAGAGCGGGGATGCGAGAGAGACGCCACAGTGGCGAGGATCGCCCGCGCTGAACCGGAGGAGTCACCGGCAGATGATGTCCCGATGTGAGAGTGCTTCCAGAGGAGACGAGGGAGGATGAAGAAGGGGGAAGAGGGCTCTGGAGCGGCAGAGGTGGAATATAATGAAGTTGAGTGGGAAAGGACTGTGCACCGTGTTCACCAGCACCCTCCTCTTCGTGTGCGCCCTGAGCGAAGTTGTGGTTGGATTAAGATGCGTCTCTTTGGGATCTACGGTGAGGGCGCATTTCCACCTCGGCGCCGCGGCTGGGGCTTTCTACTCCGGGCTCCTGGTGGGGGTCGGCCAGGTGCTGCTGGGCTCCGCGCTGCTCTTTTGCATGGAGAAGCCCGGCTGCAGGAATTTCTTCCTCCTCGGGGTTGTGGTCTTCTTGTTGGGGGTGCTCACCGCCTTCTCGGGCGCTGTGGTGGACGGGGACACTGCTTCTTTGGTGGAGAGGAAATACACCCACTACTGCTTCCACTCTTTGGAAGAGAGCTCTGCCTGCGAGCAGCTAAGGGATTACCAGCGGAGTTTGGTCATCTCCACTGTTCTCAGCACCCTGGAGTGCCTCCTGGGGCTCATCAACTTGGTGGCTATCAAAAGGTACAACTCAGCGCAGTTTACGAGGAGCCGACAGAGGCAGCGAGCCGAGGCGATCATCTTCAGCGAGGAGCGGGACTGCTCCTCGGCGGATTTCCAGCCGGTGTCTTACATCAATCTGGGTGTTTTTAACGTGTTGGACGAGACAGGTGCAGAAGTGCAGTGCGGGGGGCATCCGTCAATAGAGCTGCCGGGATACTCGCCAACAGACCCGGAGCTCAACCATTGCTTCCCTTTCTCATACCCACTCCCCAGCGAACTCCCGCCCGCATATGAGGACATTTTCCCCGCTGAGGCATGCAACACATAGCCGCTCTGGAGCAGCTTTCTCCTTTTCCTCTGCTGTGACAATCAATGACTTAGTGCTTAAACAATCCCATTCTTCTTGTTCTTCTTCCAACTCACACAACAACAAAAAGCAGTAAGTTACAAAGGAGGACCAGCAGTGGATTGAATTCACCTGATTCCTTCTCATTCTGATATTTTCTTACATCTGCCTGGTATTGTACATCAGCAGTGAGAATATGAACTACTCATCAAAGTGACAGGCCCAGACAGTGCAGGCCCATAAACGCAACAGCTTGCTAGTATGACAAAAGCAGAGTTTGTGTTTTGAATGTTTGCTGTTAAACATTTTTACTTGTGAATAAAAAGTGTATTTAACCTCAACTGACGTCATGAAGCTGCTGCAAATATAGCTTAATTCATTCAACTTTTCGTAGGTGATCCATTTACGCTTTCTATGTTATCATAATCTAGAGCCATGAACTAAGAAGGTACCTTGAACACATCATCATTATGCGATAATATTGAGGAACAACTAAAGGCCACCCACACATTTAATAATTTGCTTCAAAAAGATGGGGAAGTAAAACAAAGTTTTAAAATAAAAAGATCCTTCAAAATCAAGGTAGCCGATGCCAATAGTCCCAAATTTTGGTTTAGCAGTGGCTCTTCCTTTCCCGAAATGCAACAGGGACACATTTGACTAGAACCTCCTTTTCTGTTATGTGTCTCCAAGCCAAAGCTGAAGCAACCCCGATGACATCACTATGACATCATCAGGGTAATTTATTCAGGCGTTGACAAAATGTCAGATAATAGTGAAAAATCCCATTTAAAAAAAAATCCATGTCCTGTTCTTTTTGTCCAAACCCAAAAAAGGACATTTCAAAATTTGAGAAGATGTTATTTTCTGTCATTTTTTATCATAAAGATTATCAAAAATAATTGTCTGTTAGTGGACTAATGGTCACAGAAAGCGTGATAAAAATGTTTCTCCAATGTGATTATCACTCCACTAAAGTACAAGAAGCTCAACAAAATGTGTGGGGTGCACCTTTAAAGGTCTTGTTGTGTGAAAAAGCCACGTAGCAGGTAAGATGAATGGTATTAATGATAATGATTATGTGGGAAAGATTAGGAGTTGGAAGCTGAAAGCACCTCATTTGCATTTAAGTAGCATGAGGGGTAATGATACAAAACCCTTCATTTTGGGGGTCTTTTAATGCATCCCAAATGTAGCAGGCTAGTCACATTTCAGACTGAAGGTCGTCTTGCACCTTTTTCAATGTAAAAGATTGAAGATGTGCAGCACAGCTTCCCATATTGTTTGATATGACTTCAAATAATTGATGAACTCCATCCGCACACAAATAACCACATCCGCTCTCAGCGTGCACCCTCCGGGGACCATCAAAACACACTCAGCCTCTCTGTTATTCATTTCACTTAAAAGCTAAGAGTGACAGAAAGAAGCTATTTCATCATTATGGTCCCTTTTCACTCAAATTAAAGCCCTTCAAAAAGGCTTTCCACAGCCACAGTTCTGGTCAGGGGCACTTGGAGGGAGAAACTTTAATAAGTTCCCCACTGCATCCGTGTAATAATCTTCCTCTTATCCTTTTTCAAAACCACTCTCTCGTTCTACTTAAATAGGGCTTCAAGTGCCAGAGCTGAATGCAGGGAGAAAAACCCCTCCTCCTCTCCACTTCATGCCAGTAAAAAAAATACAGCCATAACCCGAGATCTAGCCAGCAACCGACAAGGGAACAAAAGAGAGCTGATGTCCTAAAAGTTTCATGGAGGTGCTTCCAAAGAAAGATGCAAACAAAGCTAATGGTAAGAACTTTTTCAGACAGAAAACAGAAAAGCAAGACTGTGGGTTGGAAGCCTTTGGAACAGATAAGGTGTTGCTCTTGCCATCAGCAAGTCCTCCACCTGCAGCACATTAGAGGTCAGCAGTATCACCACTAATGAGGAAGCTCTTCCTTTCTTAATCTGTGTGGAAAACCACTTTTCATTGGCACAACAGATTCACCTTTAGACAAAAGTACAAGAGAATGTTTTCCATCTTATTTCTTAACACCTTGAAACAAAAGTGTTTTTTTGTGTGTGAAAGGAGCTGGTGCATTGAAGCGATGTTGCTTATATTACATATTCTTTACTCACG